GCCTTCCCTTCATACAAGATTCTGTAATGCTCTTTATCTTTTATCTATCATTTGTCCTTTTGTTTTCTATCTTTCTGCGTTGCAAGCTTCTTTATTGTTTCTTCCAGATTATTCTCCTCAGGGACTTTTGTGTTAGTAAGACTGAACATTGCTTGCAGCCATGCCAGACTGTGCTGTGATTTTATTGGATTTCACAAGCCAAGGTTAGGCCAGGTCAGAACTTGGTTGAAATAACGTAAACTACAAGATTGCCTTCTAGCCACTGAGAACACACGCAGGAAAACCCCAGCCTAGCTGGTGAGGCAGTCGGCTCAGGCTGGCTCAGTGCTGTGATGCTGGGGGTAGTGGGTCCGATATCAAGGCGGGGTTTCTGACCCGTTCCCATCCTTAAGATGTATATTCTACTGGTGGGTGAAATAGTTCTGAAGTTTTCTTTGCTTGATCTTCTGAAGCAAGGTTAATGTTTGGAAAATATTTCAGTGCCTTCACATGAAAGGGCCCAGAAAGGAAGAAATTATTACTAAAAGGAATGTATGCAGAAAACTATACTTGAGCTTTTCTGAGAGTTGCTTGAGGTTTCTGATCAAAAGATTATGTAAAGGTTAGTAAGTCTCTTCAGGCTCACTATGTACGTACTAGGTGGAAAATGGTATGCAATTATGCTAGAGTCAAAGATCCTACAAAGATGCAAAGATTTGTATCTAGCTAGATACAAAGATTCATTATGCAGATCAGGGTTTTTCTCATTATTATAAAGGTTTTTGGACCTGTCTGTATTTTGTTATGCTTAAGTCCTAGGAATGAGCTATTAAAAAGCCTGTAAAATAAAGCTATAAGAGGCCAGAAAGTGACATCAAATAATATGTGATGGTGTGAATTAAAGGCCAGAATAATTTGGCCTCTTAATGTGCCAACCTTTGTTTCATCCCACCCCGCAGTGAGTCTGAGGCATGGCTGCTGGGGAATTCATTTCGCCTGCACCCGTGCTGAAGCAGTGCTAATGAAGTTGAGGGAAGAGCTGTGCAAACAGCTAGAGATATCTTGATGTGCGTAGACCTACGCCGATATACTTAGAGCTATTAGAGAAGCTGACTATATATAGCTGAGCAGCAGCTGTTGAGTACAACATAGCCACCGAACACATTTAATGAGTGTAAATGGTAAAGCTGCAGAGGAATTAGTTAACAAGGTGCAAAAGGGCAGAGTTGACTAAGTCATGGGATGAAATACTTCAGACTGGATTAGGAGAAGCTTCCTGTTGGTTTAGGCTGCAGAGTAATCTGCCAGGGTGAATATGTAAATGTGTAAATTAGTCTAGAGAAAGAATTCTGTAATGTGGAGTAGCTGCTGGAGTGGTTTTGCTGTGGCGGGATGTGGAGCAGATGATCAGGTGTATACTGCTGTGCAGTATTTTCATGATTTGAAGGATTTTGGTTTGCTTTTCTTAATATCTGTATTTTGATGCAGTCTAACTTGTGGTTTTTTTATTGATTGAAAATGTTGAGCTTTGCGACCTCAAAATACAAATTTTGCACGTTTCTACATAGACAAAAAGGGGACTTTACAGTTGCAATAGGAATATTGGATAGAAGTTGGGATTTGCAATCTGATGGGAAACATTTGCCCGTTGGCTATTGAGGTTACCCGTAATTGTTCTTAATTGGTAAATTATCTCTGTCTCTGATAATCCTAATTGTTAGTGCAGAGCTTGGCACTGCCAGCAGAGATATGGAAGGGTGCCGCAGCGCAAGGAGGCAAGGGGGCTTTCATCTCTGCCATCCCTTGTCCAGGGCTTACTGTACATGCAAATTCATGGGCTCCTCCAGTGGGCAACATTTGCATATTCTGAAGAGGGTGAAATCTGGTAGTTAGCGGCATTGTACGCTGCAGGGGCCCTTCTGCAGCGCAAGGATCTGCGGGATGGGACCGTGGTGGCTGGTGTTGCTGCAGCCCTGATAAACGTGTAGGGGAATGTTCTGCAGAAGGGTATGAAAAGCTCTGCTGATTCTTTCTCTTCCTGCGAGAGACCCAGGCTGGCTAATCTTT